GGGTGACAGGAGGGTCTCATGGTCTAAAATTCAACTACCCCCCACCCCCACCCTCCCCTGAATCTTGTGTGCCTGTTAAAATTGAAGCCCTTGACGCACAAAAAACAAAGACAACGACGGCTGATACAAGCAGGAGGTGCTGATAGCCAACCGGCCCTATTAGCAGACCAGCCGGCGCAAAACGCTTAACACAAGCAAAATGAAGTCGGCCAGGCAACTATAACGGAGATAGACTCCAGTTGAAAGATTAATGACCGGTTTCTTTGAAAGTATCCTATGGTGATTTAAAAGATGTCATTAGAATGCTAAACAATAAACCCGCAGACAGACCACAGTTGTGGCTACGACTACCTTCCATGATTGTCTGCTTCTGCTGGTCGCGACACATGACAAATAGACATTACGGTACTATTAGTCATAAAAGCCCGTCATATTCCTTCTGAACTAGCCCAAGTATTCTCCACCTATTAGATAACGGATCCTTTAAGGAGTTTTGCTAAATCCATACTAGTACAGCACCCAGACTGCATTCTTGATCGATAGAAGATATAATACAGTGATATAACAATCAATAAAATCTAGTTAACCGGTAGAGAAGCTCAGGACACCTAACACAAATTCTCACAAGAACCCAGAAGAAAATTCTGATAGTTGAAATTCGAAAAACAATTATCCTATTTTAAAAGCTAAATCGACCTCTAATGCTATTTGCCAGACTAAAGATTTAAAATATCGTTTTCCTTTCGTGAGAAAAAATAGTATAAATGATAGCAACGAGTGTTTGGATCAAGCTACTACAAAATGAATGAAGGTCAATCGATTTATGCGCAATAAAATTTCGTTGGGTTTTGTGCGTGCGGGAATATTGATTTTCAACTGGTTTCCCCCTACTCCCAATTCTAGGTGGGTGTTCAAGAAAATTCGTGCTTCCAAAACAATTCGGTTACCTCAATTAGGTCTTCGCCTTTGTTCATCGATAGGAGTAGTTGCTTGACTATAACAGAATAACTTTCAATAAATAACTCAGATAGATTATGTGGATTCTTGACACTTTGAAATCGACTACTTTAAGAAAATCTGGGCCAGTTAACTAGAAATTAGGCGAATTTTTGAAGAAATTGAGTAGCTGAAACTTTATATCCCTTGGATATTGTGTATGAGGTTTCATAACAAGGCTTTTCCCTAGCTTACCTTCATAGCAGGAAACCTAGAGAACTCTGAAATATTGAAAGAAAACCAAATTCAACCTTCGAGCTAAAAAGACAAGCGACTCGAAAAAGCCAAGACATTTGTCTAAAGAGCAAACTAGAGCAGATATTGATGACCTAATAATAAGACCTTTCAAAGCTTGAACTCTCAGCATAGTCAATTCAAGAGCAATACCAGATGAAGCTAAAATATTCCTACCAATGAGCAGGTGCTAATAAGACCAGAATGAAAAAAAAACTTGCACTACCGTTCCAACAGGCCAAGTATTTCGAGGGTGTAAAACACGAGACAGGAGAAGTTGATGAAAAACATTAAATAACCCAGGCCAGACTCAAGCCATGTCGAGAATTCAAGAAAAAAGTGGGAAGATTAGAAGAGGGCGATTTAAAACAGATTCAGGACAATGCCGAGATAGAAAGCCTTGACCCGATAAGGATCAGCAGATTTGGAATCGAGATACCAGACATTCTAAACACTCTCCCCCCC